CTCTCTCTCTCTCTCTCTCTCTCTCTCTCTCTCTCTCTCTCTCTCTCTCTCTCTCTCTCTCTCTCTCTCTCTCGCTTTGTTTTTGTTCCTTGTTTTTTTGCAGTTTTCAATTTTTATTCTGTTTAACACCAAAGAATATGTGATTTGAAAAAAGAAAAAAAAGGGGTTGTAGGGTTCCAACCTGCATCAACCTCACAGACTCTGGTGGCGAACCACACTTCTATGAACGGTACGACACCCACCCTACCCTTTCCCAGATGAGTCTACTTAGCTGGAGGAATCCCCTTGATGTGTACCCCTAAGTGACCTCTCCAGTGGGTATGACAGACCAGGCACTATCCCGGATGAAGCCCATCCCGCAGGCATCGTAGGATTTTAATGGGGGCCCGCCAGTCCGCATGAGGGGTGTGAACCTCTTCAGGTTCCATGGGGGTTGTGTGGGTTCCTGGGGTGTCTTCAGATGTCTTGGGTACCATGTGGTTTCCCGATCCAGAGGTTCACCGATGGTTGAACCCATACTTGTCCCGCCCTGGTCCTGGTCTGATCCCGCCTCTCATGCACCCTATAGAGTGGTCGTAGCAGGACGGGTCCTACGAACTTACGATGCCTGCAGGCGGGCCCCTGTTAAAATCCTACGATGCCTGCGGGATGGGCTTCATCCGGGATAGTGCCTGGTCTGTCATGCCCACTGGAGAGGTCACTTAGGGGTACACATCAAGGGGATTCCTCCAGGTAAGTAGACTCATCTGGGAAAGGGTAGGGTGGGTGTCGTACCGTTCATCGAAGTGTGGTTCGCCACCAGAGTCTGTGAGGTTGATGCAGGCTGGAAATAGCCCAATCTGCTCCCGGTCGTCCCTGAGTAATCAGGGTGTTCCTCTATGGTAGCAGTCAGGGGTCTGTAGTTAGATCCTTGGCACATTGTGAGTTTGGGAGCCTTGGTCTAGTTAGGCTAGGTCTAGGTTACCAGCTATAGGGGCTTGACTTACGACAGTTAAAAGGTAACACAGTTAAAAGTGTAGTCTGCATGGTGAGGTGTCCCCGAAAATGTGGAACCTCCAAGTGACCCCCCCACTGGTTGAACATGCAAATCAGACACTTCCCGAGGCATAGAGCCCAGTCGCTACTACAACATGGATCTTTAAACAAAAAAAAAACAGCTTGAAGGCAGGAAATCTCATATCGTCCTTTTTTTTTTTTTTTTTTTTTTTTTTCGGTAGAGGGATTGTGAGCTGTAGGGCCTTGGTGCACCACTTACCAAGTGTGAAAATGAAGGTGGACGCATGCCTCAAAAGATGTTGTCAGTGTGCAATTTTCTTTCCTAAACAGCCATGTTGTGAAAACGATGTATTTTATATTTTTGGAATGGTATCAAAACCAACCTTTTTGGCCAAAAAATTATCAAAATTGTTGCTCCTGAGGGTCTGGTGTTTTCAGAACGCCGAACCAGCTGGATGTATGTGGATGTATCTGGACTCCAGATTCGTTTAGTGGGGCCGGCGTTTTCAGAAGGTCGGACCCTCAAAAGCGGAAAATTAAAAATTTGACATTTTTGGGGCCGAAGAAGTCGGTTTCAAATTTCAATCTCGTTCATAAAATATAAAATGTCCGTTTTTATGAAATGGTTGTTCCTAGACATGGGGTGAGCCGCTCCTATGCAATTCCATGGATGCTACTAGAGGAAGCTGAAATCAGCTGGCGCAGAGGTGTCTAAAAGGGGTAAACCTAGGGCGCAGTCATGATTTCAGTTTATAATCCACGTCGGACATCCCTCAAATACTACACATCCCCACCCGACCCTAAAGCAAGGTTGTATACTTTCACCATTTTCCTCGCTTTGGCCCAACATTCGCGAAATCCTGAGTGAAGCACATTTTCAAACCGAAACCGTGACTGCGCCCTAGTTTTCCCTGTCTAAAATGCAAAGCCTCGTTTCTTATGGCTCTCTTATTGCCAAGACTGAAATTTTCAGTAGCCCGAGGACTTCTGCTGCTGCAGGAGATTTCTGAGTGTCATCGCAGTCAGATATATCTAGGGAACTTGTAGAGTGTGTATGCTATCAGAACATGAAACTCAGGGGCCAATGCATTAGCCTATAATAATGATGTCACAAGCAATGAAGGAGACAAATTGTATGCAATCCTCATTGCCCGACGTAATTCCCCTCTGCAGCTTCAATAGTGCACTGACCAGAATGTCCACTGGACATCTGGATGATGGCACAAATTGTCTTTTGTCCTGTGCTGCCTACTGCCTAGGTTGTCTATTATCATACGATGCTTGCTATTCGAAAGGGGGTTTAAAGCACCAGTACATCACATATCGGCCCACGGGTGCCAGCATGAAACCCGCACCACTTCGGAGGCTGCAGAGTTTTTTTTTTCAACGGCGGGCCTGGCCACGCGGCGCCTCCGAGTTCTGCATGTGGCTTCAAAAACTTTCTGCAAGGCTGGGGCCGTGTACTAGCGGTTTAACTTAGCCCCTGGTGTTATCGAGTCCATCAGATTCTCGTCTTTGAGCAAACAACGTGCTCATCATCAGCACCATGTGTGTATCATTAACCCACAAGGCTGACGTGGCGCCAAAGGTATTACAATTCCCCTAGCATCTACCATTATGTGGACTGCAGTAGGTGTTTGGCTCCCTTACTCAGCACCATACTTGCAACTGCACGAACCACACATTTGTGCGGAGTTCCATGCGGGGGGTGCCTGTGCGGAATCGTGCAGGTTTTTCATTTTTATTATTATTATAATATTATTATTATTTTTTGGGAGGGGGGAGAGGGGGGCGTATGACAGGAAGATGGGGATATGGTGAGGAGAGGGGGATATAAAGAGGAGGAGGAGGATGTGGACGAGGAGGATGACGAGGATAGCGAGGAGGAGGAGGAGGAGGAGCAGAGATGGGGGAGGAGAAGAGATGGATGGAGGGAAAAGAGGAAGGGCAGGAGGAGGAGGAGTGGGAGCCTGGGAGGAGCAGGGGACATGGACGGCGAGGAAGGCGAAGACACGAGGAAGGTAAGGAGGGGAGGAGGCATGGAAGATGAGGAAGTACGAGGAGGAGGAGGAGACGAGGAGGATGAGGAAGGGCAGGAGGAGGACAAACAGGAGGAGGACGACAAATTGGAGGAGACGAAAAGGAGAAGGGAGCAGGAGACATGGAGGACGGTGAAGGGGAGGAGGAGCAAGGGGAGGCAGCACTCTGCAATTTTTTTTTCATCCCGCTTATAATTTTGGCGCGGGGCCTCGAACGCACCGTTTCAACCCCCGGCCTTCTCTTTTTTTTTTCCGGAGGGGGGTGACGGGTCGTTCCCCGCACACGCCGTGCGCCGCAAGGGATCGGTTGTGCGCGTGCGCCGCACGTCGGTGCGCTTGCAAGCATGCTCAGCATGCTTCTCTCTCTTGTCTGCTCAGACACACACACTGTGACAAACACACAGACACACACACACACCTGATGAGTTGGTGAGTCCGACGAGACAGTCTGGCACAGTCATGCTTTTTTGGAGTGTATAGCAAATATGACAACACACGTGGTGCTTCCACAGTCCACAACTGAACTGGTCCTGTTTGGTCCGTAGGGGTGGCCGCTTACCTTAGGCAATAGCTGCTCCTCAACTCAAAATCTTATGCAACCAAAACACTAACCAACCTCATGTGCCATTCGAGAGTAGTGTGTTCCAGCGGTGAGTATTTAGAAAAATTCTGTGAAGTTCGTCATATGCCTCTCCCCTGCCCTTTGCATGAACTACTCTATCCTGCCCTTCACATATTGCTCTCCTGCCATTTGCCCTCCACCTCCCGCTACCCCGCACTCCTATAGAACTCCGCCGCCCATCCCTTTCCCTCCACCCTCCTCTCCACCCTCCCCTTTTGTGCTACTAAGAAAGACGTATGTGAGCATTGTTAAGAGAACAAACGTTATGAAGATCAGAAGTGAAATGAACAGGAGTATGAAGATGAAAGACAGACACAAAGACCAAGTATAAGCTGAAGATCTGAAGCGAAATGAACAGGAATATATATCTGAAGAGAAATGCACACGAGCATAACTTCCCTTTTACTCAGCCTCCTGTTAGAACGTGCAAGGGGTCCGTTAAGGCAGACGGGGAAATGGCAGTTGCCGCTTAACCACAATCAATGTGGGCAGCCTTGTACGTGCGAGGCATAGTAAAAGAGGAGTTGTTGCCCCAAAGAAACCCCAACTAAACACAGTTCAAAATGGTTCCATTATGATTCATGTTGCTTGCCAAAGAGGTGAATTCTTTAATTGTTGGGCTGGCTCAACTCGAATCTACTCGTCTGGGCGGAATAGGGGCTGTTGTGGTGGAAACTTAAGACACACACAGACACGCACACACACACACACACACACACACACACACACACACACACACACACACACACACACACAGCCGGGCACTGGAGGAAAATGGGGTACAGTCAGAAGCTGCACTAGCGCCAGAAAGGGGGGCACAAAGTGGTATGTCGAGGAGAGAGAGAGAGAGAGAGAGAGAGAGAGAGAGAGAGAGAGAGAGAGAGAGAGAGAGAAGGTGGGAAACTTCAAACACACACACACACACACACATGAGTCGGGCACTGGAGGAAAATGGGGTACAGTCAGAAGCTGCACTAGCGCCAGAAAGGGGGGCAAAAAGTGGTCTGTCAAAGAGAGAGAGAGAGAGAGAGAGAGAGAGAGAGAGAGAGAGAGAGAGAGAGAAGGCGGTTCACATGGTTGGTGGTGACTTCGTCCAGAAGAAGATCACACGGATCTTCGTCCCAGCAGGAATGACCACCAATACCAGTAACCTCCGAAAGTCGCGGCGGTATACAAGCCGAGACAATCATGAATGGATGGGCCACTATGGGAGCACCCAAATTCATTCGACTCGGAACACTTTTGCTCTATTTTTTCCCGCCATAGTTATGTGGCCGAGCCACTGGTGGTTTAAGTGCAATGACCCGGAAGTGGATGCCGACAATTAGGGCACGACGCGTGTCTATTTTGCTGCAGGCAGTGAGATTTCCAGGCCTGCAAGCATTTGTTATGAAACTCGTGATTGCACTCCGTCTTCACCCGTTCACCCACCTTGGGTTCGAAGCAGATACTGCAGGAGTCCTTGACATTAGAGCCTATGTCCACCATGATGAGAAGCGCGTCCCACTCAGTTGTGTCCTTCTGCTCGTCACTGAAGCGGTGATAGAAGTCGCCCGAAGCATCTTTCCAATCGCTACTCAAGTGCACCTTGTCTGATGACTTGATGCCTTCATACCTCCACTTGCAGGAGTAGAAACCACAAGTTATGGGCATAAATGCCGAGTTGCAAATCGGACACCGACCTTTCTTCGCCGACAAGTTGAAAATTGGAAAAGAGTTTCCGTCAATCACCATCTTGCCAAAGGCTTCGCAGTTCTTGTTCATGCAATTCCCTTCAACATTGAGGCCCTTGTGGCATACTCGCCAGTTAGGCGCATCCCCAGAAAAGTTCAGCTTCACCATGCCATCCTGATTGCTGACGTCAGCAAATAGCCTTCCAGGTCCACCGCCGCTCAATCTAAGGACGAGATGAAGAGTAGACTCGTTGCCAATTTTGTATTCATCTAGACGTCTTCCATCTTCCAACTGTTTTCCTTGAAAGATGAGTCTTTGTTGATCGGGAGGGATTCCTTCCTCGTCCTGAATCTTGACTTTGACCATGTCTATCAGATCGTGTAGATGCACTTCGATTGTTATCTTCTTGCAGGTCAAAGTTAGCACATAAATCTTTATTGCATCGGAAGAACCTGGAATGTCCCGGCAAAAGAAATAACACACATGCTCAGACACTGAGATTGACAGCCATGTATATAAAATCTGTTGTAGACAGGTCTGGCATAAAGGTAGAGCAAAGCTCAGAAAATACTCAGAAAAGAGTCATAGGATTTTTTGGCTTGAATCTGGTCCAATACAAGACCAAAGTTAGCATATAAATCTTCATTGCAGGGGAATAACCTGACATGTACCGGCAAAAGAAATAACACACAGATGCTCAGACACTGAGATTGACAGCCATGTATATCATAGAGAGGCCTGACATGAAGGTTACCGTAGAGCAAAGCTCAGAAAATACTCAGAAGAGAGTCATAGGATTTTTTGGCTTGAATCTGGTCCAATACATATGGTAACCATAACTTCGCCCAGTAGGTAAGAAAATACAGCCAAAGAGAACAAAAGGAAAGGGGCAACATTGTTCGAGTTATAAAGTTGGAATGGCAAACGAAACTCACCCTCAGCATAGTGCCGGTCTGACTTTCATCCGTAAATGAGACTATGGCCAGTGGTGAGCAAAGTTCCCTGTAGAGAGTCTGACCAAGTAGAAAAGTTCGGGTTGGATGGGCAGAAATGTTATTCATTTGTAGTTACTATTGTTATTACTGTCATTATTTTTGAAGGAAGATTGTTGCGGTGGCCCCTTTCTATTGGCAGGGCCATAACTGTTCCGTGACCGGCGAAAAAAAAAAAAAAAAAAAAATCGATCAAAGTGTGCCTCACTTTCTGATCCCCACCTCTCCCCCGATCCCGGCTTCCCTCCATCGATCCCCAGATTCCCCACCTCTCTCCCCCGATCCCGACTGCCTCCTCTGACCTCCCTCGCCCGACCTCCATCCGGCGACTTCCCTCCCCATCCCGTCCCGCTCTTCCTCCTTCCGCCCCTGGTCTTGCTCCCGCTGCCGCTCCTGCTACACGTGTGTGTGTGTGTGTGTGTGTGTGTGTGTGTGTGAGAGAGAGAGAGAGAGAGAGAGAGAGAGAGAGAGAGAGAGAGAGAGAGAGAGAGNGAGAGAGAGAGAGAGAGAGAGAGAGAGAGAGAGAGAGAGAGAGAGAGAGAGAGAGAGAGAGAGAGAGAGAGAGCGTACTTCCTTCGATAGGATGAGCAAAATCGAACGAATCTACCGAGAACATGGAAATATACACTGCCAGTGGTAGTGTATATTTTGATGTTGTAGCGGAAGATTCATTCGATTTTGCTCATCCTATCGATGGAAGTAGCGTGATGCCAGTCGCGGGGTTGGAGACTTACCTGTTGGCCGGTGCTTTATCCTATCGATGGAAAACTCTCTCTCTCTCTCTCTCTCTCTCTCTCTCTCTCTCTCTCTCTCTCTCTCTCTCTCTCTCTTTTACCCCCCTTAACAACAACAGATGGTGGATCGTCCTTCTCCCGTTCGCCCTCCTGCTGCTCCTCACGCTCTTCCTCCTCCTCCTCCGCTGCTCCTCCTGCTCTCCCCCGGCTTCGTTTTTCGCTCCCCTCTCAGCGCGGGCGTCACCCGCGTCGCTTTTCGCCCGCCCGCCTGGTGCGCGCGTCGGCTCGGCCCTCCGCCCCTTGCCCGCTTCGGTTTTCCCTGTCCTCGACTTTTCCCGCCCGTCTATGTGCGGGCCTCGCCCCTGGGCCGCTTCCCCCGCGCCGGCTCCGCCCTCCGCCCCTTGCCCGCTTCGGTTTTCCCTGCCCGCGACTTTCCCCCCGTCTCTGCGTGGGCCTCGCCCCTGGGCCGGTTAACCTGCCCGGTTCCGCACCTTTACATGTTTCCCTTGGTTCCCTCGACCGAGCATGTCAGCGGGACCTTTGTAACTCTTAAGAGTATCGATATATATATATATATTTTTAATTTTTTATTGTTTTTGAGCCGACCGGGCAAGTGTCCCGGGGCCACTCTGGTAGCCTAGGCAGTTTCCGATTTTTATTTTTTTTTACAGCAAAAAATATGCGATTTGGGAAAAAAAAAAAGGGGTTGTAGGGTTCGAAAAACCCTACAACCCCGTACTTCTTTTTTTTTTTTACGTTTTTTTTCGCCCAGGAAAAATTTGTGAAAATCATGGCCGCGGAATTGGGGCCGCCATCCGCGGCCTCGTCCACAAAAGTGGCCGCCACGGCCATTGGACCCCACGGCCGCGGGTGATACATAAGACGTCGCTCTCAATCACATGAATATGCAAGAAGAAGAAAAAGAGAGAATCATCCAAGTTGCAAGAATGCAAATGAGAAATCAACAGTCTCACCGGAAACGTCGGAATAGGTCGGGCCGCCTGTCGCTCGCTCGCTCGCGCCCAGCGTCACACCTGAACGCACCAAGAAAATATTCCGGTGTGAATGTCGTAGTAAAGAAAAATTTGGCACCTCTAACTACCGTGCGTCTGCAGTTACAGGCGGACCAAAGTCCCGAGAGTCAGCCTTCCCTGGGAACGGCGCCACCGTCAACTGGACTGTAGGGATCCGCCGGC